AAGGCTGTATTTGACAAAATATTGGTTATATTAGTTTACCATTGCTCTGTGCTCTGTGCCCCAAATATATGTATCTTGAGAATCCAAATTTTCCAAGGCAGTGAAATAATTGTTAAAAGTTAATTCCTGAGTTAGCAGTTGAAAGGTCTACAAAAGAAAATGAGAAAGAATGAAGTTTCTTCTTTTCATTCTCTTGAGGCAACTAATAGTGCAGCTACAACAGAGATTCTTTTTCATGTTTTCAATAATTTCCTCTAATCAACTTAAAACTATTTGAAATTTGACAATAGTTTGTATTTCTTCCAGTGGTGTAACAGCTTTAACACGTTTAGTAATTTGACTATTTTTTTATAAGTTACCAATAAATATTTAGAAGCTTCGTCTATCGTTGTGCTCTTCTTTCTATTGTACACTAAAACCATAGTCAATGTTCAAAGTTTCTGCCATATACAAAAACTAATTCTATAATAAGAAACAATTATAGTATTAATTCGTTTGCTTTCCAGCGTTACCACTATTGAATTCTTTGTATTGGTCACCATCTTATTTGCCTAGAATAACAAATACACACTTTGAACTGTAACTCTCTGTATCTGTTTGTAGAACATTTCATATATAAAAATCGTTGTTACTGCAGATTTGATGTTAAAGTTTTATAGATTACTTGAACTGCAAATGTCAACTGTTAAAAAGCATTTACCGTCAGCTTGTTGTGTGCAGAAAAGGAAGCAACAGTGCTCAACACTAATCGTCTCTAAAATTAACCGTAGGAGACGTGATCTATACAAGCAGTTATCAGTTGATAAAAAAGAATTGCTTTTAACACGCCGGCGATCAAAAAAACTTGAATTAAAAAAGGGTTCGACTGTGCTGCTTGAATATACCAAACAAGCTGCTGGGTTTGAGCTGCATACAGAAAAAACTCTGACGATAGTTGAGGCACCATGCATTGCTGGGAAAGGTTAGAAACCGAAAAAGATCTATTCGAACAAAAGACACATCTACATATACACTATTTGTAGACATAAATATATGCATGTATATATGTGTTCTTCGTCGTGATTGTACTTAAATTCAATTTGCTCTTACTAAACATATTTAGATTTCCATATTAGCAGGTATATCTTCAGCTGTGGGGGAAGTAGTTGATTGTCACAAAGGAAAAAATATTACTGATCACTTCTCCATTTTTGAACATGGTACGTGAGTAAAAATATATTTTTTTGTAGCTTGACTGAACTCCCTTTTAATATACTAATTAGAATTATTTGTATGTTAGGTTCAACCTCTGGTGCACCTTGTGACCGACATCATGTAGAGACATCTACTGTCATAAACAAAGGTTTGTCTCAATTTAATCTAGGTTTATCTCAATTTAATCTTATAACACCACCTGCTGCCTCTCTCTTCTCAACACTAATAGGATATATTGTTGCAACTAATATACACAGGTTCTAAATCAAAAATAATAAGTTGGAACTGGAACATTAGAGAACTACCCACTGATGCAACCATTTCAAAAACTGTACCAGATTGTAAATATTGTGGAGCAAAAAGATTTGAATATGAGCCGCCGGCATTTTGTTGTAGCAATGGTTCAGTTAAGTTGACGTCACATGAAATGCCTAATGAACTCTTGAATTTATATTTAGGCAATACCGAAGAATCTGAACACTTCCGTACCTACCTTAGATTATACAACAATATGTTTGCATTTACTTCCCTTGGGGTGCACTATGACAAAGTACTAGCAAAAAAAAAACCAAGGAATTTATACATTTAGAGTACAAGGTCAAATGTATCACTTTATAAATGATTTAATTCCAACAAATCGGCGACCAAGAAATTTACAGTTGTATTTTTACGATGAGAATGCAGAAATATTAAACTGAATGGCTTTGTCGGATATACTTCGACAATCAATTGTTCATAAGCTAATGAACATACTAAAGATAAATCCTTATTGTATCTTCTTGAAATCTCTAATACATATTCCAGAATTATCAAACTTTTATATTGCATTGAGATGTGGCTCTGGCTTAGATCAACGAGTATATAACCTGCCAACTGTGTCAGAAGTAGCAGCATTATGGCTAGAACAAGAAATGAGCAATAATAGTTTTACACCCCATATTTGAATTTATATTCACAGTAACAAAAGCCAATTAGTAAATTACTATTATGGTTGCTATGATCCTTTGCAATATCCACTTTTATTTCCTTATGGTCAAAACGGCTGGCATTGTGGTATTCCAAAAATTGTACAACCTAGAAATAAATTGAGAAAGTGAGCTTACTATGAGACTGAGCAGCTTCCGAGTGTCTCTAACATGTGTTCAATTGATGGACTACTTGATATGGAAGCGGATGTTCTGCAAAGGGGAAACGAAAAAGAAATAATGTTTCTTGTCGTGAATACTACTGTTACAAACTCCAGATGAGAGACAATGAGGAAAACGGAGTTTTACATTCTGGTAGATTATTTCAATAATATTCAGTTGATGAATTCATAAAAGTAGAAACTCAAAGATTAGATTTTGCCTCATTTAACCAAGATTTATTTTGGATTGATGTACTACAAGGACTTTTAGATATCTTGAGACTTGGCAAAAGAGAAGCTTCTAAGATAGGAAAACAAAACTTTCTTCCAACAAGTTTTACGGGTGGTCCGAGAGATATGCGTCAACGTTATATGGATGCTATTGCGTTAGTCCGGCATTTTGGAAAGCCTGATATATTTATGACCATAACATGTAATCCCTCTTGGCCTGAAATAAAGGAACATTTGCTCCCAACAGACGAAACTCAAAATAGGCCTGATTTAATTCGTCGAGTATTCAGAGCAAAGGTAGAAGAGATGAAAACAGATATATTAAAAAGAAGCATATTTGGAAAAGTTGCCGCCTTTATGTACAGTATAGAATTTCAAAAATGCGGTCTTCCACATGCCCATTTTCTTGTTATACTTACTGATGACTACAAATTATTAACGCCCGAGGCTTATGACAAATTTGTTTGTGCTGAGTTGCCTGGCCCTGATACATACTCATACTTACATAAGCTTGTCGTTAAACACATGATGCATGGGACTTGTGGTCATTTAAATCCCACAAATTTATGTATGAAAAGAAATGAGTGCAAATTTAAGTACCCCAAGAGTTTCGCTGATGAGACGACGAAAGGAAAGAACTCATACCCAATTTATAGAAGACGAAATACTGGTAAATCTGTGAAAGTTAGAAAACAATTTCTTGATAACTCATGGGTTGTTCCCTACAACCCCTATCTGCTATGTAAATACAATTGCCATATAAATGTAGAAGTTTGCTCCGATATTAAAGTTGTGAAATATATATACAAATATATCTTTAAAGGACATGATAAGATATCATTTGGCTTACACGAAGATAACGCAAATATACAAATAGATGAGATAAAAGAGTATCAATCTGCTAGATGGGTGTCACCTCCAGAAGCTATGTGGCGCTTATTTGCGTTTCCTATTAGTGAAATGACTCCGAGTGTTTACCACCTCCCATTACATCTTGATGGACTACAATTTGTCTCTTTTAAAAAAACCAACACAATAGATAGTATCGTGAAAAATCCTATGATCAAGAAGACGATGCTGACAGAATTCTTTTTGATGAATGAAACAAACAAAGATACTAAAGAGCTTAAATTATTGTATAAAGATTTTCCACAACACTTCGTATGGTCATCTAGCTATAAAATGTGGACTCAACGACAACAAGGTCACGTTATTGGCCGGGTTGTAACATGTCATCCAACAGAGGGAGAAAGATATTACCTTAGATTATTACTAATGAATGTGAGAGCACCAAAATCATACAAAGATCTTATAACGGTAAATGAAATATGTTGCGACACATTTAGAGAATCTGCAGAAAAAAGAGGGTTGTTACATTGTGATAACAGCTTGATTGAATGTATGTTAGAGGCTGCATGTTATCAAATGCCTTATAGTTTAAGACGTTTATTTGCTACAATATTAGTATACTGTAGCCCTGACAATCCAAGAGAACTATGGGAACAGTTTGAAGATTCAATGCCGAAGATTTTAAAATCCTAGCCAATATAGCAGCAAAAGATATCCACCTCGCTGGTCTGAATCACATCAATGATATACTACATTCTATGGGTCGTGATATTAATGAATTCAATCTTGTTTCAGAAAATATTACATCTTCGAAAATGGCAAATGAAGCGAAGGAAGCATATTTCGAAAGAAACATCATTGTGGGTAACGAAGATTTGTTGTTACATAGAAAATTTAATACAGAACAGAAAATAGCATACGACATAATCTTGCAAAGAGTATTTGCCAATGAATCAGGAGCATTTTTCATTGATGGTCCAGGAGGAAGTGGTAAGACGTTTTTATACTGTGCCTTATTAGCAACTGTGAGATCTAAAGGATTTGTAGCATTAACAACAACAACTTCTGGAGTTGCAGCTTCGATCCTTCCAGGAGGACGAACAGTTCATTCACGTTTTAAATTTCCGATTAATATCGATGAAAAATTTTCTTGCAATATTAGCAAGCAAAGCTCATTGGCATCTTTGATTCGTGATGCAAAATTGATTGTGTGGGATGAAGTATCAATGGCAAAAAAGAACATGATTGAAGCTTTAGATTCTCTCGTGAAAGATATAATGAACACAAATGTGCTTTTCGGTGGAAAAGTTGTTGTGTTTGGAGGGGATTTTAGACAAACTCTTCATGTGGTTCGAAGTGGAAAAAAGGAAGATTTCATTCGAGAAAGCATATTGACTCCGAAATATGGAACGAACATGAAAAATTGCAGTTATCAGAGAATATGCGTGCCAAAACTGATCCCTCTTTTTGTGAATATTTGATGCGAATTGGAAATGGAAAAGAAAAAACAAATATGGATAATAAAATAGAAATTCCAAAGTCTTTCATTGTTCCTTATATTACTGAAAAAGAATCTTTGGATCTTTTATTCAACATAATATATCCTAATTTGCACATGTCTCTTCACAATTCTTCTTTTTTAACTTTGCGCGTTATTTTGACAACGAAAAATGACTTTGTTGATGAAATAAATGATAGGCTTATAGCTCAATTCCCTAAAGAAGCTAAAACATTTATTGCAATGGATGAAACTGTTGAACCAAATGATCAGAGCCAGTTTGAGGATTTTTTATATTCATTGAACCCTGCTGGTTTGCCTCCTTGCAAATTAATCTTGAAGGAAAATTGTCCTGTTATGTTGCTGCGAAATTTAAATCCATGTGAGGGTTTATGCAATGGTACACGACTGATATGCTGTGATTTTAAGAGTCTGTTATAAGTGCTAAAATTGCGAGTGGTGATTTTAAAGATACGCATGTATTTATTCCCAGAATACCATTGTTATCTTCAGATGATGAGAAGCTACCAATCCCATTTAAAAGAACTCAATTTCCAATACGCCTGTGTTTTGCAATGACGATAAATAAAGCACAAGGGCAAACATTAAATTATGTTGGTATTAATTTGCGTGAGCCAGTATTTTCTCATGGCCAGCTATATGTTGCTTTATCCAGAGCAAAGAGTTCAAGTTGTATTAAAATATTAATCCGACCACCAACCGTAGATAACGATGATGACCATTCTACATATAACATAGTGTATGACGAAATCATTCAAAAAGCACTTCTATAAGTCTGTAGCTTTCTTCTTTATATACCTGGTTTAACCTTATATTCTTTATTTCAATAATTTTCTTGAGACTTGAGATAGTTTCTCTGCAATTTACTATGTGCTAAATAAGAGTTGGCTTGTGTATCTGCAAATCCTTTCCAAACTTTTACTCATCTGATATAGTTTTTGGATGCACAATATACAAATCAGAATATTTACATTGTGAAACTTTCCAAGACCAATAAGTCAAAGCATTCATCTTTGCAAATCTATAAATACAAAAGCTACTTGCATATTTATGTGATTTTTTTCCAACTCTGTGAAGCTGACCTGACTGACATTTACATCAAAAAAAATATATTGTTAACTCCGCCTGTGTTCAAATTATATTGTAACACAGCCGGTCCCAAGCCCGGATAAAGGAGGACGGTCTATTGTATATTGGTAATAACAATTGTATCTTATTTCTTCATTTGAATGTACTTACTGATTTCCTCTTATAAATTTTTATACATCACTATTCAATATGTTGGCGAAAAAATTTGTTGTTCGTTTAAGAAACAAAATGAGAAATAAATTAAAAATTTATTCATCTTCTATTTTGATGTCTTTATATTCCTTTACTGCTTACTAACACGTATAATCTGTGTTGCAGGTATTTTAAAGAGATCTTCTAAAGTAAAATATTTTCACAAGTTGGTACTAAAAGGTACTGTCACACTAACCAAATTTTGATATAGTAATTTCATTTTCTACCTTAGAGATTGTTTCATTATTTGATTTTATATGGATATCTTTGCATATTTCAATGATGTGATTAGTTTTACTACTGAAAGTTGTCCAATTAATCTTCTTTAATGTCTTTATTATATTCATTCAACTATTATGAATACATACAAATAATTAACATCATATATATTTGACAGAAACTAAATGACCCAGTATTATTTGTTGCGTCATAATACACGAGTTAATGCACAACTGTCGAATTGGTCTGGCAGCAAAGGATATGCTTTTGAAAATATTTACATAGCTGCTGCAGGGGGCTGTTATGGATTTAAACAACCCTCAGGTTTCCTCTTTCTCCTGAAACGTCTGTGCTAATTTTGATTGCTCAAGAAATTGAAATCATAGTCCTCTTCGACCTTGGTGTGAATAATAACAAGTATGTTCTCTTGTGGGTGATTATATTATGGTAGTAGAATCGCAAATCAGTTTTCCGTAAGCACCTCTAACTAACGAAGATAGACAACACTGCTTTTGTCCAGCCGTCAAATAATCTATGCCTTTCTGATGAACTTCTTGCATTGGCACCCCATAAGTCAAATAGCTTTGAATTTCTTGCCATCTTTCATTGGTCTTCAAATGACTGCATCTTTCTAGAGAAAATTTCTATGTTTTTCACAAGTCATTCATCTCCAAATTTCACCTTATAAAACAAAATAGGTATCATTTGTTTTATGGTACTTACTCTCTTTGTTCTTGAACTGTCTGGTCATGCTACATGGTTTGGTAATATTCTTCTCTATTGAGTTGTAGCTTGTAGGTGGGATATTCATATAGACTGGCTTCAGTAATTAAGGTGAATTTTTAATTTTACTTCGCTTATGTGTAGCACAGGTTGATTTCAGACAGCTACAATCTTGATTTTGTCGAGCGAAAATCATTTAAAGTGCACGAAATTAGCTTTAACAAAGTCATGTGCTTATTCACTCGACAAAATCATATAGAGTGCACGATTCTGTCACAAAATGAGCATTTCTCTTCTGTTTTTCTACTGATTCCTTTGACTCTGTCTCTTCTATATCCGATGGTCATATTTCTTCTTTTTAAAAATTTCCATCTTTCTCAATTTGTGTCTCTCTATTTGGTTTTTCCTTACTCTACTTCTTAAGATTTGATCCCTGCGTTTTGGAAGTAATTACTTCTCTTTTTTTCTGTGTTGCTTCTGGGTTTAAATAAGTCTAAGGAATCACCAATTGCTTGCTAGGTTTTAATTGTTTTTCTTTGGCAGCTTCACTTTCAGTTTGCCTGTTATGTGTTTGTGAAATTGCATGTCACAAAGGGAAAAGAAAAGAGTAATTCAAAGTTGAGAGAATTGCATGAAAACGAAATTACAGAGCTGAATTAAATTGAATTGAAAAAATGTTGTTTGCTTGACAATTTAGTTATTCGTAACTCAGCTAATGCATCATCTTCTAGGGCTAGCAGTATTTTTACGAAGCAGGATTCTCCTATTATAAGAGGGCTCATTGCTTTGTTGTGAAACAGGTTAGGTAATTTTGTTGTCACATATAAATAGTATAGAATTATATTACTTGGAAAGAAATAATAAAAAATAAAAAAGTGGTGAAAGCTTTTTAAGCATTATTGTATCAAACAGGAATTGAAAAGGAACTTTAGTTAATTGTGTCCTGAAGAGGCCCCTGATTTGAATGTCGCCTTTAACCCCCCTTTCTTAAATATTGAGTTTTTTTCCCTAAAAACAGTTCATGTGATTTTTCTTACATTTTACTACTGATGAGAAATTTGAGAAATAGAAGTAGCTATAAGTTTATGTTAGTTGACCTTTTTCTTGCACTTGTACTGTTATAGCTATATGCTCATGTATCCTCATTCTAAATGTCTTAAATGTTGAGTGGCTACATATACTTCATCCTTATTATAGGATTCGTCTGAAGTTGTGAGATTAACTCTTTGATAGGAAACATCTATTATCTAGCAATGGCTATATGTTTATACCATATATAATGTGATACGACAGAAAATTAGGAAAAGAGATTGGTTCAGATTAATTATTTTGCTTATATGCTTTGTGGACATAACCTTGAAGCCTATCGTTTTTACTTGCATATTCTACATTTTTATGTACGCACAGACAAGCTTTGAGTCTTATGGGACATCTATTGGAGACAGAAGGAAAATTGAGGGATGGTTCTAAGGACGACCTCTTTCCTAGAACAAGAAAGAGAGGAAGAAAGTGACAGAAGTGGGTATATTGAAGAAGGATCCTGACCAACTAAAATATCAGATTCAGAAACTAGAAGTGATGGGTAAGTTGTTCCACATATAATTCTTTTCTTTGGATAAGTTGCTACATTTGAACTCTGTGATACTTCTTCTTATATAATTGAATAAAGTGCTCTATTTTTAGATCATTTGTAATTGAATAAAATGCTCTTGTGCTTAACATTTCTCTTGACGTTGATCTCTAGAAATTGTTTTGAGTGACATTGAAGAAAGACAGAGAATTATAAAGCAATGCCTATTCATCACGTTCAGTAAAGTAAAAGGAATAAGGAGAGGAAGGGCAGAAGTAGGAAATAATCTGAAGTGGATTAATTAAAGCTCGAAGAATTACTTTACAAAAATTCATGAGTAAACTGAAGAGTGGCTACTACCAGTAAATCAGTAATATAACAATAGACCTGTTGTCATCTTGAGTTAATTGGTTTAAATTTTCACATAGCTTTTAGTTGTCTCATAGTTTTTTAGTTGTGGTTTGTTAATTAAACTGTAAAATTTAAAACTTTATACCTGATGGGAGTGGTGTAGTGCAGGCTATTTCTGGAGAACTTTATTTCTGATATTTTGCTCTATTCCTTTCTTTAACATATTTACTTTGTTGGTCCACTTCTCCTTTATATGTCGCTTGTTGCTTAAAGAAAGAAACAATACATACTTCTATGAACCTCGATGCTAATTCATAGGCACAACTGTGTTATTGTTTCCTCTTAAGACTACAAAAGGAACTTCATTGGTTAGATTTCTCCAAGAGCATTGTAGAAGTTGTATCACAAGATGAATGACATTCTTTTGAAAAAGAGTGACCAGCTTCTTTTTAAGAAAGCACCAACATTTTATCTGTTCAACTAAGCATGTAGAAATAAATTCCAGTTTAAGTGACTTTTCTATGGAAGTAAAAGCTCATGGAAAGATTATTACTTTGTGTTACAGTGAGGCTATACCGTTAAGAACAATAGATTCTTATGAGAGTTTAGAGATTGCCGGGTGAGTTTAGATGATTAATTTATAACGTGGAAAGATGCCTCCGGTTGGATATAGAGTTGCATCCGGATATTTTAGGGTTAAGAAGGGTACATTTGTAACAACAATAAAACAAAGAATTTCTATTGGTTGACTAAAGGGTTTAAGTGGAATTTATGGCTGGGCACACTATTAGGATACAACGCTGCATCGATATATATCTTAAAACAGCGCCGCGTGTCCCACCTTTTCTCAGGTATGCTTAGCCATCCCTCTGCTTTTGTGGTTATTATGGATTCTCTCTTCACTCTATTTTACCCTGTTTCAAATCGTCCTCAGGTTATTAGCTCATTCATATTTATTGGGAGAGAATGAATTGTGCTTCCGGGGTGAGTTTAGTTCATACTAATTCGATTCCATATATTTTCCTTTTGGTTTTCTGCTGCGTTTGATTTATGTAATAGTGAAGTTTTATACTTTAAAACCTCATAGCATAATGATAATTCCTTTTAAAAAGATTGTGCTTTTGCCGATTAAATTTTAGAATAAAAAGGGTTCAGCAGCATGTTTTAGACAATTTACCAGTAGTTCATCAGCTGCTCTAATAAAATACATCTTTTCCCTGAACCAAATAATTTAACATGCTAATTCTAAAGTCATTTATACCTATTTGGCACTTTTTGTTACAGTAATTGTTACTGCTGATGGTTTAGGTGCACTATTTGATGGAGAATTTGTGATGTTTGTAGCAAAAGTACTCAAGTAAGAACTCTAAGAGGAAACAACTGAAAGAACGATGATTTTGGTCAATTCGATAATTTTCTACATAGAAAACTACTTGGTTCTTCGTGAAATAAGAAAGCCTGTGAAAAAATGAATTATGGTTTCTCTGATGTCTAGAGTTATTAGTTAGCTCTGCCCTACCCTACTATTATATCCTTTGTTGCTCACATTATTGGTAGCGGATTGTTCTCATTTATGTTTCTTCTGACGTATTGCTCCAGTGCCATCCACACCACTTTTGATTTTTTTCCTATGTTTTATCCCTCCTTTCAGTATTTGCTGCTGAAGATGATTATGCTAACTCGCCAATCTAAAGGTGCTTAAACAGTTTCATCTATGGCACAACATAAATTATCAATTGGAGTCGAGATATCCATCAGTTCAACAACACAACCATGAAGGTAAGTGTCCCTGTTAGAAGTTAGAATTGTATACTCATGCTTTCTAACTTTTGAGAGGGTTATAATTTCTTCATTAGTTTAAACGAGGAATTTTTCTCTGTTCTTCCCTTGAACTAATAATTTTGTTAAAAACAAGGTTTGGTTTCGACCATATAACCATTAGTAAATATGGCCCTTCTAGATTACATCTCATCAGACAAATTGAAGTATGTTTGGATCTCGATGACCACCTTGATGACATCAGCAAGTAAGAGTGTTATAATATAATCGGACTGAACTCTCTAATATCCCCATTCTTTCTAAAAGTCACATGCTTTTCTGCTTTTGCTCATCTATTGATAGGGACCGGGTGAATATAATGCTCTTCAATTGAAGTTTCTGTGTGGAATTGGCTATTGTCATGTTGGTGCCCTCTCATGGGAGGTGAAAACAACTTCAGGAAAACTGGTACTCATTTCAAGACTTCTCACATAGACATATCTGCTATCTCACCTTAGACCAAGTATTAGGTGATTAAAACCCAAATGTTTTTATTTCTTACATTTTTTTTCTTTTCTTAACATTTGAATATTCACATTCTTGGTATATAGATTGTGGTTTGTGATTCTGTTGGTGTTGCGACAACATTTTATGTAAGCTTACAAAACTTTGTGCATAAAATAAAATATCAATACATATAAATGGGTGTAATGGGAATTTTAATTTGCATTGGGTGCAGATGTGCTCGGAAGTTGATGCAGCGCCGTTGAGAGATGAGATAGATTTTTAATTCTTGGGAAACAGAATAGGATTGCTTTATCTTATTCAAAAGCTAGAGCCCTATTTTTGTAGACATGATCAAATTAATAAAACAAATCATGTTGTATCCTCTTTTATCTTCTATTTTCTGTTTTATTGGTTTACATTTATGGTTCAGTATACAAGGCTAGACACTTGTGCTATTTTTGCCTCAATTATTTCAAAGCTTCAAGATTGCAGTTTCAACTTAGGAGAAAATTTGACAGTGAATTGACCATTACTTTAGACTTTAAATTGTTAGAGCATAAGCAAGATCATGTTGTCACACCTTCTTTTTCCGCCCCGCGAGGGTGCAAGGGAGTTTTTCCAATTAAAGGACAATCGAAACGGGATTTGTTTATATTTATTTCAGAGTCGCCACTTAGGAGATTTAGGGTGTCCCAAGTCACCAATTTTAATCCCGAATCGAGGAAAAGAATGACTCCATATTACAGTCTGCGCACCAGAAATCCGGATAAGGAATTCTGTTAACCCGGGAGAAGGTGTTAGGCATTCCCGAGTTCTGTGGTTCTAGCACGGTCGCTCAACTGTTATATTCGGCTTGATTATCTGATTTTATACAAATATGAACTTATGTGCAAAATTTTATCTTTTTACCGCTTTCTTACTTATTGTTATTATTTTACGAGAATTGCAACGTCATGGAAACATATCTCGAACCACGTTACATCAATGCACCCGTAGTTGTTTGGCATATCTCGACTCGGTTGAGATTTGGATTTGGGTCACATAAATGTGCACCCGAGTTAAGGAAAATAAATTATTAAAGGCGCGCCTAAAGCAACCAGCGTCTTGTTATTTTGGGGAAGGCCGTAAAATTTGCTAAACGGTTTGTCCTCGAATTCTAAGTATTTTAATATATACATTTAGAGGGCCCCGCAACTTGTGCATTTTTTGTTTGTCGAGGCTCGTCTCATTCATTATTAAAAAGAATTTGCAATGTCATGGAAATACATCTCAGACCACGTCACAATCAATGTACCCGTGATTAGAGACACATTTCGATTTCGTTGAGATTTGGATTTGGGTCACATAAATGTGCACCCGAGTTTAAGGAGATAACATTATTAAATACGCGCCTAAAGCGACTAGCGTATTATTATTTTGGGTAGGGCCGTGAAATTTGCTAAACGGCCCTTCCCGACTAAAAAAAAATTCTTAAACCTTTACTGAGGGTCCTGCAAATTTTTTATTAATTTTTTTATTTGACGAAGTTCGTCTCACTTATTTATTTATTAATTTTTAAAAGGAAAGTAACTACATTTATATTTTTATTTGTCTCTAAATAAAGAAAAATCCTAGTTAATTACATGCTAAAAAAAACCGTAACTTATTTAATTAATAGATTACAACAGATGCTAACGAAAATTATACTTGAACTTGTAAAAATGAAAAATTGTTTCGCGCCTTATTCCATAAGCTAATATTACTAAAAATGGAATTATGTATATAAAAAAACGTACAAGATTGACTAACGTTACTACAATTAGCCATTTTTAACTGTGGTGAGGTTAACTAAATGATCAAAGCTATAGACTAATTCATTAACCCTAATGGATTCACAATTTAACTATACTTTATTGAAACTACTCTACATTAGTGTAAGTATACTTAATTATTAATACATAAAATTATCGACTACGACCTTTATTTATTTATTTATTTATTTACTTTTATTATTATTATTGGAGCTATAATGTTGACACTACCCAACCACCTTATTTTTACATTTTTATCAAGTCCACAATCTATCTATGTGAGATTATTTGTAACATGAATTAATGCCAATACTGATGAGAGTATAATCACTTAAGAGGACTAATGGAAATTAGTTTTAACCATCTAAACGAAATACTAATTGGGTTTTGACTAAGTACTCTATCTCATTTATGGACTACTTGAATATATGCATGGAAACAAACAACTAACTAGAGATATGCTACTTATCATGATTTACCCCATTAATCTAATAAAATTGAAAGGTTCATGTTATATCAGCGCATGACCATTTATACGATTTCTTCTCTTTTCAATCCAATTATACAAAAAAAAAATAAAAAATAAAAATAAAATAGTTCATAAAAAAAACTAAAAAGACCAGATTGTCTACTATCTGCTTTATTGAAGCGGTTCGATTTTATTGCTGCATTTCAACTT